TGACCGGAATCGAACCTGGGACCTTTCAGTCCGCAGGCCGACGCTCTATCCACTGAGCCAAACCGGTCAGGGCCCTGTGCAGGCTCTTGTGTGGACACAGGTTTTCAGCTCTTCTGGGTAAATACCCAGGAGAGGGATTGTGCGATCCCATGGTAAGAGTATGTTTAGTTTTATGAGGGGCCTGGTCTTATTGTGCAGACAACGCGGACTCCAGCCATGTGGGGAGCGAGGCGTGAGAGCAGGCGTGGCTTGGCACTCGCCGTGTTGTGCAAACATGATCTTACTTCATAAAGGCGGTGGCCTCGTGGCTAGCAGCATGGCGCCTGGTGCCAGACAGCCCGGCTTCGAATTCCTGATTCCTTGCACGTCAGCTGTGCCTCCAGCAGGTCACCCGGTCGCTCTCAGCCCTCGTTCCCTTTCCGGGACAGCAGATACTCAGGGCCGACCGGCCTCAGGGAGTCGTAAGAGTTAAGTGCCATAATCTATGTCCAGCCTCTCTGAGCACCATTAACCTCACAGTGATGCTGGGACACAGGTGTGATGGCTCCCACCTTAGAGAGACAGTCACCTGGAGCAGAAGCTTGACAAAGTCCCAGAGCCGGCCGGGGAGCCTGCTGCTGCGTGGAATTCCCGCCACCTGGGCCCCCACGGGTCCCCAGCGCCAGGAGGCAGCAGGCAGAGCTGTTCTCCCAGGAAGTGGTGTGTGTGGAGTCGCCACTTACTCCCTCCAATCCCGCTGCCCCCGAGCAGCCTCCCTCCGTGTCTGGGCTCCAGCTGACATTTGCAGAACTTCAGCGTGGAGGTCACTGTAGATTCAGAACATCAGCGCCTGCGGCTCTGCGGAGCCTGCGCTAAGGTGCCTCTCCGAGGGGGGGCGCAGTCCTCGGTGAGACCAGGACCTGCAGGTCTGAAGCCACATTGACTTCGGGCTGCAGGCAAGCCCTAGGGGCACCCTCCCACCTTGGGAGCCTCCTCCCTCCCTGGGTGCCTCTCCCGCCCTGGGTGCCTCCTCTCACCCTGGGGGCGCCTCTCCC